CAACCAGTCAACTGAAAGGAAGCTTCCTTGGTAGGTGGCATGCTGCCAACACAGGTGGAGGCTGTGGGAAAGCTTGCTTGCTTTTTGCTGAGTCTGAGTCCCGTGTTGGTCCCGAGCCAGCAGTCTGCCGTATTGCTTGCTGGTCCTGGGCATCGTCAGCAGACTGGCACCTTCCCTGCCAACCTTGAGTTCATTTGCTTCGGCAGCCAGCAGCCTGCCACCTGACTTCCCCCTCTTGGGTTCATCAGCCCCTGCTGCTCCAAGGGTTAGGAGAAGCCTCCAGCCTGTCATCTGACCCGTGGACTTAGAACCTTCCTCGTCTGTACCGCTGAGCGAGATACAGGGTCCACTGTCCTGGGGCACTGCGCTGCTGCACACAACCCTGCCTGCTTTTCCACCATTCTCACTGTCATCCTACAGATGAGCCTACGGCTGGAGCCAGCTGTCTCCGTCTCGTTGAGAGACTTCCTCCTTTTATTGGCTGGCTCTCTACTTCAGGATGTCCTCCAGGGCCTGGTTCCTCTTGATAACATGCCCCAAGAACATGAGGCATTTCTGCTACTGCTCATGCAACCCTGGGCTCAGTTTCCACCAGCGAAGCAGCGGACTGGGCTGTACCACCCTTACAGCCGCTTCAGAGAGAGCTGCGGCCCAACGAAGCCCTCCCCTCCCCCTTTTCATGCAAAGAGCCCCAGGCACGGTCCACAAGCCCACTGGAGGTGGCACGCCATCCTTCAGGCCACGGCACAAGGATTCTATGCAAACCCATCCTTCTAGGTCACGGTCCTCAATGAGCATCCGTGAGTGTCCAAAATAGTGTCTGGAGCACTCTTTCTGTGGCACAGGCACTCGGGAAACACACGCATGGCTAATCAAGAGTCTATGACACCACTGGTGATCATTAAGCCCCTCCAGAAAACAAAAACAAAAACAACAATGCCTGTTTAGAACACCGGGAGCCGTCACCTCCCTCTCCCACCCCCACCCTAACCCAGGGCCAAGGTCCTCGGAGCTACAACCACAGCATTTTTTCACTGGAGCCCCCCACATGTGGCTTCCACACCAGGCACGCCCATCTCTCCTTCCTTCTGGGCGCATTTGCGTGTGGACGCTAAGCCCACCCAGGTCCTCAGAGGTGAAATTCTTCAGGGAGGAAGGCTGGCCCAAAGATGACTTTGAAAATGAGGGCACCCGTCTTTTTAATCACAGAAGGCTCACTGGAAAGACACTTGCTGCTCAATCAGACTTTCTTTGTGAAATGGTAATCGCCTTTCTGACGCTGTTTCAAGGTCAAAGAAAGGGCAATCCACAGAAGAAAGAATCTCAGAGACTCCAGGGCTGTGCTTCAGAAAAACCCGCTGGATCTGGGAAAGGCTTGTGCTCCTGCGTCACCTGCTCGGGATGTTCCAGGGGCGGGAGGCGGCGTGGCGCACTTACCCCTCTGCCGTGGCACTGGGCCGCACACTCATGGACCCCAAAGACACTGATGTTTTGGCAGCGGCGGTTGAGGCATATCTGTGGAGGGGACAGTGTGGAAAACACTCTAGCTCCCATTCTGTCCAGGTGAGAACAAGCCCCGAGAATTCCGTGCCCCAAGCCTAGACCACCGTTCCAGAAACAACACCTGAGGCTGCCGGGCTCCCCTCCCAAGCCACATCCTGGCTGGAAGCTGATAACGCAGCCCAGAAGTGTCTCCTGAGCCGTCTCAGGTAGTGAAGCCAAGCCGATGGTCATACCTGGGGGTGGGAGCTAGTTTGTCCATCCCTTCCAGGGTAAAGACCTGCACTGGAGACCAGGGGGCCGCGGAGCCCAGCCCTGGGGAGGCAACGGCCACCTCTTGGCTGCCTTCCAGGGGGCACTGGATGGGGGGGGGCAGGCTTACTTTTCCATCCGCACACTTTGTGCCAGCCAGCACCAGCCCTGGGTCTGGCATGTCATCCCCGAGGTAGACATGGGTCCCCCGGCAGAGAATCCGGCCTCCTTCCTGCAGTGGGATGTTCGTTTCTATGGAAACGGCATTGGTACCAATGACTGGCCGGCTGGCACCACCTTGGCACTGGATTTTGCCACACTTGGCATCTCTGGAAGGGCAAGAACAAGCTGTTTCAGAGGGACAGTGTGTGGGACCAGGCCTAGGCTTGGGGGGCAGGGGCCGTTGGGGAGGGGGTGGGACCAAGCAGCGATGTCACCAGCCTGGGCGGGTCCCTACCTCATGGCACATTTGGCGAAGGAGCTTCGGGAGTCTTTGCCACAGTTGCCGTAGGGGTCACCGGCTGAGTTGACCCTCTCGAAGCAGATCCCAGGGGCAGGATTAGCACCTGAAACAGAAGTGACAGTGTGTGTGTGTGTGTGTGTGTGGTGTGTATGTGGTGGTGATGGTTGTTCTGTGCAAGGCTGTCCAGCTGTTTCCTTGGGCAGCACTCTGCCCTTGGACACCAGCCAGCTCTCCGGGCAGGGGCATGTGTTTGGGTCCAGGGAGGCCGAGCCTGGGGGAGGGGCTGACTCTGGCTGTGGACTGGCCAGGAGAAGCCCCGAGGGTCAGCCCATGGTGGCCTCTGTTCCGGGCTGCACACGTGACACAGCAAGCATGCCAGGGCGCCCTCCTCCTCAGGTCCCTGATCCGGAGCTGCCGGAGGTGGGAGGCCAGGCCCCACTGGACCCAGCATCCATGGAAGTCAGCTGTTGGCTGCCAGGAAGGAAGAGCCTGCTTTTTCCCAAGGCCTCCCACACGATTCCGGTGAGCAACTGCAAGCTCCGGCCCACTCCAGAGAGGGAGGGCAACGCGTGAACCAATGTGGGCAGCCATGGGGGGTGGGGGTGGGGGGAGAAGGCGTGTGAGAGAGTGAGCACGCACACGCTAGGGGGTTTGCAAAACACGCTCCCTTCCATAAAGGCCCCCAGAGAGCGAGCACTGGGTTTGCAAGGCAGAGGGGATTCCCAGAGTCCTTGTGGACCAAAGGGATTCGACCGTCCAGAGAGGGGATGGGTGGCAGAGAGGTCAGGAAACAGCCGGCAGTAGCCTCTCTCCCTGCTGCGGAAGGAGCCTGCCCAGCTGGGGGTATGGATGCTCAGACCCCGAAAGCAGAGGATCTTCTGCTGAAGGCTGTATGGGAAAGTTAGGGACATGCCCCACATTCTTGTAAATGCACCGTGCTCGAGCCTTCTCACCCAGCGGCTCTCTGGGAGCTTCCACCCAGGACTCTGGTTTCCTCAAGCCCAGCCCTGTCCCTCGCTCCTCAGCCCTGTATGCCTTTAGGGGGACTGTGGGCTTCCTTAAGACACTCCTTCCCCACAGGGAACAAGGCCTTGTCGTTACTAAGAAAAAAAACATCTTTCTTTGGTCTGTGTCTGACTCCTCACCTCAGCAGACAGGACAAGCCTCTCAGTGCAAAACCTGAGCAGAAAACACCTTGCACACTTGAGATCCGTAGCTGCCTCGGCCACGGCCCCTCAGTGCATCAGCCATTCCAGCCATATACCCCGCGCCCCTTCCTCGGTCCCTTTTATAGGGCCACAGCAGACACACTGCCTGTCATCGCTTCTGCAAGGGTCATGACCCCATGCTGGAAACAGTCCTGTGCCGATGCAGAAAGCAAGGGTGCCCGCTCCTTATCAAGTGCCTTTTGTTTCCTCTGGGATTTTCTTCCATCTCAACGGCATGGCTACACCTCTCACACACTCTGCTTCTGGGATCCCGCTCGCTCCTTCTGGTCATCTTCTGCCCGCTCCCCTCTCCCCTGCAACCTGCCCACCTCCCCTGCCTGTGGGAGCACGAGGGGTGGGGAGGACCACTTTCAGTATGAGACTGCACTTTGTGTTGTTCAGTTAGTCCTGGTGGACGGGGTACTTTTGCGACACAAAAGGTGGGTGGTTTGAAGCCACTGGCCACTCCATCCTCCAATGACACGAATCAAAGCGCGTACGGACTGCTGCACGGACGGAAAATGGACTTTCGTCGGGAACCTTCACCCTGTTCCCCAAAGTTTAAACCAAAAACTTCAGGCTGTCTGATGGGGAAAAGAAAGAAAGATAAAAGGCCCATGATTGCTCGGTCCCTGCAGTATCACATCCACCCAGAAAGCCCGTGGATTCTTGGCACGGCAAGACCTGGTGAGTGCAAGTTAACCCTTGGCCATCGGCTATAATTTGGCATCACACTGAGGGTTACAATGATTTAGGGACCAGAGGATCGGATCGGGATGAGCAGTTTCGTCAGTCTGTCATTTTAGTGCAAAAGCTCCGTCCTCATTTCTCCCGAAACGAGGAAGGTGGCATCTTGCCAGAAGCCCACAACTGATGCCCTCTCCTCATTTCTGCCCAAGGAAGCCACGATGCAAATTGCACCTCTGCAGTCATCCAATCAGCTGCTCCCATCGCCAGTTTCTCCAAGCCCTCTCATCAATGTCCAGGAGAAAGGCTTTAAAACATTTTTATTTTAAACACTCACACTTAAGGGAGTCTATGTTGGAAGGTAACAGGTGACCACAAGGCAGGCTCCACCAACAGCAAGGATACAAGAATGGGTTCACAGGGACACCTCTCCTCCGCCAGCAGCTAGTCTCGCTGGCCCTCAGCCTCTCAGCCACGTGCCCCTTGGCTTCTGCCGGGAAGCCAGCCTGATGCTCCGACTCACAGGCTCACTGACCAGACGCTGGTCCCCAGTTCTGTCTCATGGTCTCCTTGCCTCAGCCGGCCTCCTCTGCTCTGTCCCCGGGTTTCCCTGCCACAGCTTCGGGTGCCTCTGCCAATCCAGACAGAGCTTGCCCACAGGCTCTTCTTCCGGGATGGCCCTGGGATTTCTCTGTTCCTGCTTCTGGAAAGGCATTTTAATCCGACGGGCAGAGGCTGCATTTCTCCCTCGGGTTCCCTTCCCTCTGCATCCCTCGGAGAGCGAAGGCCCAGGGAACCAGCTACAGGCTTCCCTCTCCCACTCTGGGCTCGGGACCCCCATTCCCGAGCAACACGCCTCTGGGCAAGAATATCTTCCTCTAAGAACCTGCTGCCTCCAGGGCTCCAGGTGACAATAGACTCTGCCCCACCGGTGGGTCATGAGAAGCCAAACTCATTTAAACCAGCCTTTCAGATAAGCACCGAGTATTTACCAACCCATAAACGCTGCCCGGCCAGCTCACGGCGCACAAATCACACGGCACCCGATTCTGGTGAGTGATAAACTACATAAAACGGACATATTTCAGGGCCTTCCTGATGTAAATTGTTTCTGGCCCCAGAAAGGTCGTTATCCAGGAGATGGATTTACAAACGATGTTTTCAGGAACCAGCTGATCAACAACGCTGGCCCGAGTAAATGAGCTGTCTGCAGAAGCGTCTCCAGCTCTATTTCAGGAGGAGAAAGGCCACTGCAGACGGACAGAAAATTTTTGTGGATATTAAGGCTACACTGTGCTAAACGCAAGGGACGCCGTTTGAACAGCAGGTAACACTCACGTGCCGGGCACGGCCGCAGAGTCTCGAGAGGCAAGATTTACGGGCGAAAAGCAGCGGGGGTGGAGGTTGGTGGGGGGAATAATCACCCCTCCTGGCAACAACACTCAGAAACACAAATGAACTCAAAGCCCAAAGGGTTTCCTAATGGCCTATGAGGATCCGAACTGCCGGGGAGGACTCGCAGGCATGTGGTTTGCGTTTTCTGTCGTGTTATTTGTATAGAGCCTGGGAAGCCGGGGCAAGGTACTGACATCCAAGGCTGGAAGGTGAAGGGCTGATTTCAGGAGGGACTCGTTACCGGGAGGGAGGGATCCATCCGGCCAGTGTTTGGGCAGCCCGCGCTGGGTGACGAGTCAAGGCCATCCCGGATGTAACCGGAGACTTCAGCATGACTCAATGACTCGGTCAGGTCTTCAGGGTACACACAGTGTGGACTCAGCTTCCAGGAGGCCTGAGATGACCTCCAAGCAAACGTGGTCCGGGTCCCAGTGCCTCTGCTCACGGACGGGGAAACGAAATCCTGCTAATGATTTCCTTGTGTGAATTGTGACAAGTTCGCAGAAACCACTTGCTGCAACAGAACAGTCAGACATTCTCGGCTCGGCACATCCGGCCAGGAGGGGCCCAGGGCCCCCAGAGGACTGGGCAAGCTACCACTGGCCCTGCGAATGGCTCTGTCCAGGATCACAAGTTGTGTAGGGGCAGCGTGAGGTTGCATCCTGACCTGGTTCAGGGGAGAGGGCACAGGGCCTGCAGGGAGGCTGCCAGGTGCTGGGAGGGCATCCTGATGTGCTGCGGGCCAGACGTGGCCTCTGCGGAAGGTGTTTGGTCCGTGGGCTCGTCCTCTCAGGTGGCCTTACACCACCAGCCTGACAGGAGGTGAGCATTCTCCCCATCCTACCTATACCACAAGTCCCTAAGCAGTCACCCATGAAGGAACCGGTGGTAGGGTATCTGGGGCTCCAGCCAAGCAGAAGCCTCTGTGGCCACCCCCAGGTGCATGAGTGCCCTGGCCTGTGCCACTAATTCCATAGGCTGGACACGTCTTCCCCTCCCAGCCCTTGGCTGGTGTCCACTGCTAGACTGGCCTCAGGCGTGATAAGGGAGGGTCACAAGCTGGTGGTTTCCTCAAACAGAAACGGTCTCAGGCTTCTGGAGTCTAGAACTCTGAAATCAAGGGGTCAGGAGGACTGTGACCCTTCAAAGGCTTGGAGGACGGTCCTTCCAGGTCTCTGCCAGCTGCTGGTGCTCCCCAGGAGTCCTCGGCCTGCCCCATCTCGGAGTCTGTCCACATGGCCATCTCCCCTCCGTCTCTTTGAGCCTCTTCTCCCTCTCTGATGAGAACACCACTCCGAGTGGATATCGACCCACCCAACTCCAGGATGACTTCAGGTTCACTTTCCAGTTACAAAGTCTGTAAGAATCGCCCATTTCCAAATAAGGTAGTGTTCACCTTTACCAGGGATTAGAACTTCAACCTTATATTCTGGGGGAGGGAAGTCCACTCGGGACAAATGCCCGAGAGTCACATCATCTAAGGGGCCTGCTGGGGGGTGGCCCTCCTTCGCTCACCAGGTGGTCCAAAGGATCACGTGACTCACAGAGAACAGAGGACTAGATCGTGCCGGCTACCAAAGCGCTGAACCTGCTCGGCTCAGGGAGGATAGGAGGTCCTGGACAGAGCTGGAAGGGAATGTGGCACAAAACTCAAAGCCATTGCGGTGACAAGTCTTACTAGTCTGATAGGGACTGATGGAACCCAAGACTTGGTCCGTGGAACCAAGCCCCGCCCGCCCCCTCTCCAACCACGGCTCAACCTTCAGCCACACCAGAGGCCTATAGGTGAACAGCCACGCAGATGAACACATTGACAATGAGATGGAAAGGGCCTTTGCCCAGAAACGAAGCTCCGGAGGCCGAGGGGGCCGTGTGGAAACGGGAACGCAGGGAGAAAGCGGGGGAGGACTGTCGCCGCGCATCACCATGTGTATGCTCTGTGGAATGGAAAACCAAGGCTCTCTGTGAACACTTAGCCAAATCAAAACCGAAAAAAAAAAAAATTGAAAAATGACCCCGAATTACAGCCTTGGCCCCCACACCACCCTGCACAGCCAGCTGAGTCACAGCGTGGCAGGACTCCGAGAGAGCATGGAGTCCCACTGACCTCAATTTGGAAATGGGGCCAGATGTGACAGCCCAACAGGGCGGGATTACTCCCCGGAGGGCCCCCCTCCCCCCATGCTCAGCACGCTGTGTGCTGGGCCCCTGGATGCCACTCCCTACCCGCCAAAGCATTGCAAAGTCCAGTAACTGAAGAAGGGGCGCCTGCTGGCTGGACTTGGGAGCAGGCTGGGCTGAAGACTGCCCCGAGCAGTAGCCTCTGTCCCAAAGTGACCTCACTCGCCGGAGAGGAGGCTGGGGTGGTTCAAACCGGCTGAGCTGAGAGGACTAGAGGTTCGTGGTGGATTCTGAGTGCCTGCGCTGCGCCTGTCGCAGTGAGACCCCACACCCCAGCCTGGGGGTCTCACCTGGGGCTGGCTGGGTCAGGGTCCAGGATGTGGCACCCCCCCACCCCAGGTAACCCTGGAGCACACCTGTGGGCCTTTGAGTGGCACACAGATGGGGCTGTGAGCCCCTCACTCTGGCAGCCAGCCTGTGCTCGCTCCCATCCCCGGCTGGCACAGCTGGTGGGCTCCGCTGCAGAAGGACCCAGCCCCAGGAGACGCCCGCTTGTCCTAGAGCTCAGGCTGCAGCCCTTCAGGCAGAACACTTCTCACGATCTGCAGTTTGGAAATGGGGCCAGATGTGACAAGGTGGGGGTGGGGGTGGGGTTGTACTACCCCTAGTGCTCAGCATGCTGTGTGCTGAAGGCCTGGAACATTCCCATCCGCCCGCTCCCATAGGGTTTATGGGTCAAACACTGAGTTTCCTAACAGGGGTGTGGCAGCCCAGCCTGAAGCAAGTCTTGAAGTGTTGGGCTGTTAACCACAAGATTAACAGTTTGCAAACCACCTGGTGCTCCCCAGGGAGAAATGGGAGGCTCTCTACTCCCATAAAGAGTTACAGCCTGGGAATGGGTCAGAGTCCCACTAGACGCCACCGCCTCCCCAGCCCCTGCCCCCACGAGGCCCACAGGCTCCCCCACATCGGGCCCCACGTGGCCATGGGCTCCCTCCATGTCGAGCACCCACCTGGTCCCCAGAGCGTGACACACTGCTGCTCATGAGTCTGGCAGATGCCATTGTAGCAGTAACCGTCCAGCCCCTGGCACGCATGGCCGTCGTGCAGGTAGACGTTGGGTGGGCAGTGAGGACCGGTCCCCGTGCAGAACTCCGGGAGGTCGCAGGCGTTGCTGGAGGCCCGGCATGCCGTCCCTGCCGGCTTCAGCTGCAGGGAGAGGGGGCAGCATGGCACTGGCCCTGCACAGAGTGCAGAGCAGACTCCCAGATGAACTGCAGTCAGGGCCTCCAACGGCCGCGGCTGAGGGCTCCCAAGGGCCTCCCCATCAGAGCACCCGGGAGCTCAGGCATCAAGTCATGAAACTCCAAGCTTCTTGGCCCCACCAGGAGCTGCAACCAAGGGGCGGGGGCTTCAAGGAAAGCCCCTTCCACCGCACTGGGAGCTCAACACATCCGCTGGCCTCTGGGTCCTACCATTCCATCATGGTCGGCCAGCAATGGGAGCCTCTAATTTCATGCAACACAAGGGCTCCCAAGGAGCAGAGAAGCTGGCCCCTGGGCCCTCTGAAGGAAGAGCAGAGGGCAGGGGTGTGGGGGTGGGGGCATAGCCATGGCCTTGCTAATTCTCCACAAAAAGACCTCAGCCATTGCCACCGCTGCCCCGCCACCACCACAAGCTTACATGTGAAACTCGGGGGGAAGAAGTGAACAAAACGCTGCAGGGCAAAGGTCTAGGAGCCGGTTTATTTATGACCAAATGGCAGCCTCGGGTCTGCTGAGGGGGAGAGGAGACACAAAGTGACCGTAAGTGGTACGCAGGGCCATAAAGGGTGGCCGAAACCACCCACCAGCCCCTCACTGAGTCACAGCGGGGTGGGGCGATCCAGGTTCTGAACTGCACAGTGGTGACAGCTGGCATCCCTACATGCTTCTCAGGTATGAGATGAGCCTCCAGCCATCTCCTGGAAGGCCTGGACATGGACTGGGCATGTTTAAAAGTTGTTCAGGAAGAGAGGTCACATCCTTGCCTGGCCTCCGGCCTCCTCGCTCACTCCCACGACAGCCGGAGGCTTTCTCTGGAATATGAGTCAGTCCGCCCTGTTCCCCACCTCCCTGCGGCGCTCTCCCAGGTACCCCTGGGTACCCGGAAGTACCAACTTCTCCTGCCCTGGCCCTGAAGTGAATCCCACCCAGCAAGGGGTCGGAGGCTGTCTCCAAGCTCTGCAACAGACACATTGCACAGCCCCGTCGCCATGCTCCCTCCAGTGGGTGAGCTAAGAGGGAGCTTCCGGCCAAGATGGACCACTTAGTTAAGAAGAAGAAAACATGGCCCCTGGAACCTTGGAATCCCAATCGCAGGCTCTGATTTGGGGTGGATCTCCACGCCGAGTCACGAGGCGGATGATGGGCTGGCCAGGGCAGATGCCGTTGTGGTGGCAGGGATGGCCATGGTGTAAAACTGCCACTCTCGGCTGGGCTGGGGCAGCAAACACCTTCAGGAAGGCATTTGGATCAGGTCGTTTATACCAAGTGCCTGGAACAGCTCCTGCAGATGCTCAGCCCAGCAGGCAGACATTCCTAGGGCGGGGAGGCTCGGGGCTGATAGGCAGCAGGGCAGGGACCCGCCTTGTACCAAAGTTCCTTTCATCATGGGCACAGGGTGGCCTGAGCTTCTCATGGCACCGCTGGGCATTTTAACAGTAAGTGTGAGTGCTTGGACCAACCATCCAAAAAGCATGGTGGCAACCGTGCTGTGGTGGTTAGATGCCTCCAGACAGAGTGCCCCCGTGAGCCAGAGAGGGGCACTGCTCACACCAGAGGGTCTTCCCTGGCTGCAATCTCTATGAGAGCGAATCACCAGGTCTTTCTCCTGTGGAACCTCTGGGTGGGTTTGAACTGCCAACCTTTGACTTAGCAGCTGAGTGTCTAACCGTCTGTATCACAAGGGCTCCGATACAGATTCTAGCTCATCAAGCTCATGTTCTGCAACGTCAGTTTGAGGAGGAGTGTCCGATGTCTTGAGTTTGCAAGCGGCCACTTACGAGACATTATCAGTCTCTCCTCACCCAGAACAGAAGAGAAAGGAGTCAGTCAAAGATGCAAAGAAGAAACTAATCTATAGGAGTTGACAGTCCACAGGAACCATGACTTCATCTACCCGGAGACCAGTAAACACCAGATGGTGCCTGGCTCCCACGACCAACCAACCACTTTGACCAGACACGCCAAGGATGATCTGAATGGAACAGCTTCTCCACTGGCCTTCAGGCCGCTGTGAGTAGGCACTGACCGGAGGCCGTGGGAACGGGAGAGCAACAACAGGAATGGGGAAGCGAACACAATGGTGGACAAGTCCAGACTTACTGGGCTGGTGGAGCCTGGAAGAACTCCCTCTGACTCTTTAACCCTCTAGTCCCTGAGGTTAGTTCAAAGTAACTAGCAGAGTGATCCCTAGCACAAAGAGGATGCCCTCCGAGGACCACCCTCCTGTAGAAAAGCAACAATAGGAGCAGGGATGGCTGAGCACGATCCGGAAGCAAAGATGAGAAGGGAGGGAGGCAGGGACACCAGAGGACCGGAATTGGAATAACCAGAACGCAACCACTAAGAACAGGGGTGAGGGGGAGGGGGGCATTGTGAAAAAATGTAATCGATGTCTGTGGTAGTTATATAATCTGTTGTCAATTTGAGAGCATTACGAGTGAAGGGTGGAGTCTGGCCTGTCAATCAGGATATAGCCAAGGAGGCCTTCTCCTGAGGGTTCTGGGAACTCCTGGATTTCCTCCTTGGAGGCAGAGATACACCCTCTCTCTCTGCTCACTCCCTGGGAGACATCCCTGTGCAGAAGACACATGGAGAGAGGCTGATGGAGCCAGACCTCTGGAGTCGGAGAAGCCACGTGGAGACCCCTGCCAGCACTGAGATGCTTACGCCACTGGATCCACAAGACTTCCCACCCACTGGCCTGTGAGCTTCCTGCATTTGGCATCATTGCATGTGTTTTGTGAGTCTGAAGAGGAATTTACAGATTGGTCGCGGACATATGGGTTAATATTGGACTTATGGACTTGATCTGGACCAGACTGGAATGTTGTCTCAATATTCTCAATATTCAACTGCTCTTGTATACAAAGCTCTTTCCTATCGACACATGCGTGTTTATGAATTTGTTTCTCTAGCCTACCCAGACTAAAACAATGTCACTGAATAATTGGTGTGGAAATTGTTAACCCTATAACGCCGAGTGCGACATTTTCGTAACATTTAATTAAGTGTATATATTAATATATATTGATAACTATGAAAGTAAAGAATAAAAACAAAAACAATTTTCCCTGAAATTAAAAATTCAGGTGTTAAGGGTTAAATGGGCCCTCAATTGACTGAAAACTCTCATCAAAAGTACAATAAAATTTTAATAAGTTTATGTACGTACCCATATGCCAGGGCACAGTGGTTACATTTTGGGCTGCTAACCATGTGCTGAGCAGCTCAAAACCACCAGCTGCTCTGAGGGAGAAAGCCAAGGCTTTCTACTCACATAAAGAGTTACAGGCTCAGAAACTCACAGGGACAGTTCTACCCTGTCCCGGGGGTCACTGCGAGTTGGCACTGACTGGGTGGCAGGGAGAGAGTTTTAAGTGTGTGAGTGAGCGACATTAATCATATTCACAATGTTGTGCAACCTCTACCACCCATTTCCCAAGCTTCCTCATCACCCGGCTCTCGGTGCCCTTCGGGCTCCACTGCCAACTTTCCAGTCAGACACATAGAGGTGGATCCTAGGAAAAATGGGGGAGGTGGGGGGAGGAATAACACAACTCATTCTAAAGGCGATTTTACTAGGGGCGGGGTGGGGGTGGGGATGTTCTAAAATTGAGAAAAAGAGAAGGGGTGGGGAGAAAACAAGATGGACAGTCTCAGAAACCCAAAAGGGCAATTCTACCCTGTACTACGCTGTCCCTGAGTCAAAATCAACCCCATGGCAATGGGTTTGGATGATTAAGAATGAACGTAATCTCATAATTATGGAAAAATGAAAAAAAGAAGCATGTGGAACAGAACACAAAATCTTAAAGAGTGCAGACTAGGGGTCAGTCAAGACCCCCTGCAGAGGACTCCTCATGAGGCCCAGTGACATTTTAGCCCACCAGTGACCCATCCCCAAACACAGCTCACGTATGCAAGTCACGCTAAAGGCAAAGGTGAGCACTGCCAAGTGGTGTGCTCAGGAGCGAGGGCACCTGCTGGGGCCATCAGTGTGGGCTGCGGATGGCCCAGGCATAGGGCAGGCACGCCAGGCAGCCTACCTGGCAGTCCTGGCAGCACAGCCCATGTGCACACACAGCGTCTGGCCTCAGGGTGCAGGTGGTGGCGTTGCAGCAGCTGTTTGTGCACTCCTGGAAGAGGAGATAAGAGTCGTTAGCCAGCCACGTGGGAGCCACTGCTCACAGAGTGTCTGTGTTCCTCCCTGCAAACCCCCAAGCAGACCCACGGGCACCTCTCAAGTCCCAGGACCACAGGGCGCACTGCTGCCTGGCCCTGCGCCACCCGTACCATGGTGGTTGTGCTTGAGCCCAAAGGTGCCGACGTGAAGACAACAACAAACACACTCACTGCCCCAGAGTCCGTGCTGACTCAGAGCGACCATACGGACGGACGGATTTCCGAGACTGTAAGTCTTTACAGGAATACAAAGCCTCATTGTTCTCCCGCTGAGGGGCTGGTGGTTTTAAACCGTTGATCCTCTGCTTTGCAGCACAGCACATCACACACTGTGCCGCCAGGGCTCCGCCTTCTCCCCACCTCTGCAGACACAGATGCACAAAACCTTCCAGGAGCCCTGGTGGTGCACATGGCTAAGCATGGGACAGTGACCTGGAAGTGGGTGGTTCAGAACAGCCAGGAGACCGCGTGGAGCGAGCCCTGGGGACCTGCTCTCACAAAGAACCCAGCCAAGAAACCCTAATGGGGCAGTTCAGCTGTCACGTGAGGTCACTGTGGGTCAGAAGCGACTTGAGGACACCCAACAGCAACAACAACAACAACAACATGACATAGAAGCTTCACCCTTCGAGGCCCGTTGTGCTCTAGTGCAGCAGTTGGTAACCAAGTCTAATGGTCTGTGCTTGAGCCATCGGCCCACTACAGTCCAGTTGATTCAGACTCACTGTCAACCTAGATAGGGTTTCTCAGACTGTCAATCTTTCTGGGAGCAGACCACCTCATCTTTCTCCTGCGGAGAAGTTGGTGGGTTTGAACCACTGACCTTGACCGACAGGCCCAGGAGTGCTCCTTGCTTGAACCACCGTGCCTTGAAATCTAGCCCAAGACCTGTGGAGGTCACCCATGCACAGTCCAGGAAGGGAGTTGCACAGATCAGGCTCTCTGGCCACTTGGAAGTGCAATCAAAAGGCAGGGCTGCTGGGGTTGGGGATGAAAGGAAGGTGTGTGGGCTGTGTCTGCTTATTTGAAGGGGACTGTGATCTTTGGTTTATTGTACCAACTAGGCCAATAGGAACATGTGGGCAGAGTTTTATCAGGTTGTAGCTTGGAGAGTGACGAAGATAAAAATAAAAATAGCTGCATCCCATCTTCTTCCTACTCGTAATCAGACCAGCATGCTGCTGCTTGAGCTAGTGAGCTGCACTACCTGTGGGCCGAGCCAACCCGTGGATCATGTTTCTAGAGCTTGAGGCTCCTTCAAAACATGCGTTGCCATGCTGCTGGTGTGTATATATATCATTGAGCTAGAGGCTGGTGAAACTTGTCACCACGCATGGCTTCAGTTTGATATAAACTCCTGTGCTACTGACTTCTCCCACCCCACCCCATTTTTTTTTTGCTCCAGCAAAAAAGGAGAGAGTGATTCATTTTGCTCAATTCTAAACTGGCCTCCACAGTTCATCTAGGGTCTTTAGGAAGTCCTTTCCCTGGTGGCACTGTCAGGTGAGAGTGGCCTGCTAATTGTGAGGTTGGCTGTTCAGACCCCCAGTTGCTCCACAGGAGAAACATGGGCTGTCTGCTCCTATGAAGAGTGACAGCCGGGGAGGCCACAGACAGGGCCTCTTTGAGCCAGGATTAGCTCCGTGGCAGTGGGTTTTGTACTTAAAAACACCAGCCTCCCAACCTTCCTTGGGGATTATGGTTAGGGAAGAGATTCTTTATCAGAAGAAGGAGAGGTCTGTAGAGACTTTCCTATGGCTTCCTTTACCAGTATCCTTGTAGTTTACTGGACACTCCACGGTGCACTCCAAAGAATTCACACTGTCAGCTAGAAGGAAGCCAAGCAGGCCTGAGGTGAGGGGTGTAGTCGCTTACTCCTGAAAACCACCTACTTCTGAATAAACTGCATCACTAGAACCACAGATGCAATTAAACCAGGTTTTATCAAACTGGTGGATTTACAGTGAAGTTCCCCTCAGCCACATCCCACGTCACACTAAAACAGCTTGGGCTTTCAGCCGGTCTTTACCATGTACTCCACTCCTGTGATGTGTACATCGACAGCTAGGGCACTTTAAGTGTGTTCCAGGACTTTATCAACATCTGGAATGCATTACATAAACACTTAGATAAAACTGCCAACCAGCAGTCATCGCTGTAACTTCCCCAGCAGTAAGGGTGTCTAACTCAGGGGCTTATCCCTGCTAAACCATTTGGTAACTTGTTTTGTTCTTTGAAAGGTATCCGTTAGTTGAGTTTCTGTTCCCACACACAACTGCACGACCGTGGAGTGGATTCAGACTTGCGGAGACCTTGCAGGACAGAGCACAACTGTTCCTTGGGGTCTCAGAGACCGTCAAATCTTTCCCGGCCAGCTGCCCTCAGCTTTCTCCCTAGGAGCAGCTGGTGGGTTTGAACAGCCGATCCTGTGGTTAGTAGGCAAGCGCTTCAACCACACTGCCACCACAGCTACTTTCATTCTTGCTTTGTACCCTCCAGAGCCCAGCAACCCTGTCCTGATTGCTAGCTTCCAAATGGCTCTACGGATGCCACATGAACCAAAGTACAGAGTTCCCGGACAACCCGAGTTAAGTCAGCCATGCTAAATCTAGCTCCTAAGACCCTCGCAGATCTCTACCCTTCCTACCCCGACCTAAGCACCAAAAAATGTCAGCAGCAGCTCCCACGGAGACGGAGACGCAGCCCAACACGATGGCTCCAACTTCAAAGGGGATTGATCATGTGTGAGAGAGAAAGGGAGATAACGAAGCTTCATTGATAATTTGCAAGCTCTTGGCACCCTACTGACTTTACACAGGAGATAAGGCTGGTCCTAGCCCTGCTAGCAGGAAGGGAAGAGCGAGTGACCTGTCAGGACAGCCTTATGGTTGAGATCAATCCCATGCCCTGCACGGGAAGGCTTCAGCCTTTAACCTACCCAGAATCTCTTTCTTCTGCAGGACCATATTTATCAGAAGAGGCACATCTCTCATCTGTTGCTGCATTTATTTATTTATTTTTCAGCACTCCAACAGGGAAGTTCCAGAGAACCCAGAACTACTTATTTTCCAAAGAACGAGTAATGACGCTCTGGGAGATTTCTCTGCACAAACCCTCATTGCCATTCTCACCATGAAGGGAGTAAGCATGGGTCCTTCAGCCTGATGGCCTGGGAGAGACTCGGATGCTCCTTTTGCAAGGAGCGAAGGTTCTCACGGGAATGAGAGAGCTGGCCCCGGTTGTGTGCTGCTCGGGGTTGTGCTGAATCCACCCACATGCTCCTGTAGCCCTCACGCAAGGAGCTCCTCTATGGGCCACGAGGACGCAAAGACATGAAGGCTCTTTCCAGGATCCGAGCACTGGGTAGGGGGATACAGGGACCAGGTTATAGGTTGGGTGGGGAGTTGGACACATGCTGTCACATGGCTTGCCCGTTGAGAGCGTGGACCTGGACAAGCCCCCAGGAAAAGGAGAGGAAGGCACCACAGGCTTCTCTATGATGCAAAGGTCTCTTTGAAGGAAGATCACTGGCCGGGGGGAATGTGACTTTAAGACTCAAGCCCTTACCCTATGAAATGATCCCCACCACAGGAAGACCGAGCCGGGCACTGCACGGAGGTAGATCTGATACTTGGTGAAGGAAACGTGTCTCCCCGTCGAAGAAGCTGCCCTGCGATGCAATGTGCTGCTGGGACGTGAGGTAGGTAGTGACCCCCCTGCCAAGCCCGGGCTACAAAGGTCAGATACTTGAGAACTGGCTCATCTCATGATGGTAGTGGTGGTCATGGTGGTGAATGTAGGACTGAAGGTGGTGGTATGATGCGCTGCCAGTGGTTGTGGAGGATCAGGGTGGTGGTTGTAGGACTGACAGTGAGGGTGAGGGTGGAGATGGTGGTGGGGGTGTAGTGATACGGTGGATATGGAAGATGGTGGGAAGAGTGACACTGGTGCTAATCGTGAAGCTAACGGGGATGGTGGTGATGATAGAGAAGGGATGACAATGACCGTTGTGCTGGTGGTGGTCCTTGGGTGACAGTGCAGTGATGCTGGCACAGTGTGATGGTGATAGTGCTAACAAACGGTGGTGGTGGTGAGGGTGATGGTAAGGATGGTCATGGTGGTGACTGTTGGCAGTGATGGTGGAGGTGGGAAGGCAGTGGTGGTGACGGTGTGTGACAGTGAGGATGGCCACTGTCATGGTGGTGGTGCTAAGAGTGAGGGCAATGACGGTGGTGGAGATGGTGATGGCGGCGGCGGTAGTAACAAAAGCATTGTTATGATGGCAGTCATGCCGGTCCAATGGGGTCCAATGGGGCCATGGCAGCTAGTAAAGTCCTTCCAACCTGGAGAATTCGTGGCTCCGCAAACAGCCGTCAGATCGACTTAAATTCATAAGCAACTGTAAGGTACTCAACTCAAAGAAAAACTATTTTAAGTCAACGTTGGCTTCTCCGGAGAAAGATGGGTAATTTAAGCTAATTTTTCCCCCAGGTAATTAACATGGCCTTCCAGGATTCTTGTTGTTGTTGTTGCATTCGCTCTCCCTTGTTGGTTTCAAGTTTTCCTCTGTCAGTCCTAGAAAGGGCATCTGGAACCCATAATTAGGACTTGCTCCCTCTTGACACCCATGCCCATCACCTGGGGACGGTGCCATCATCACCACACACCCCTTAATTTCTCAACACGCCCCAATACTTACTCACCTGGAGCATGCCTGGAGAGGATGCCGGCCCGAGCCCACTGGGAAGCCTGGGAGAGGAGCTGATTCTACAAACCAGCTGTTTCCACGGGGAGACAGGACTTCGAGGATGCCGGGGCCTCAGCATGATTTCCTTCCACGCTCGAATCCCCCTTCAGAGCAACCCTCTGAAACCGCTCATCTTCCCGCATCCTCATCAAACCTCTGAACTGGGCCAAGCCCTCCTTGACCTTGTCTTCGAGGCGGGAGGGGCTCCCTCGTGTAGAAGGGCCTCACTTTGGTGCACTCCAAACATAGCCTCTTGGCGTGCCCTGGGGTCTTAGGTGGGCTCCCTGGGACTCGCCTCCCCCGTTCTCTCTCAAGATCATGGAAAAATGGCAGGTCAACGTGGTGTCCATTCCTTTCACTCAGAAGCCTACAGAGCCAGGGCAGTTCCCTGGGCCTCGCTGGAGCCAGGGTTAAAGCAGCTCCCTACTTCTGCCGATTGCTCCTGCCAGCTCACCCAGTGAACAGCTCTGCCAGGGAGCCGGGGGTTTTGCCAAGAGAGGGGGCTGTGCCAGCAGGGGGTACTTTAACGGGAGGGGATGCAGCTCCTGGCTGAAAATGCACGCTGCTTATTCACATTCCCCTCTGGTCGCACGTCTTACAAAGATGGCGCTTATTAGCTTTGGAAGTTGGGATCTGCGGCTTGCTTTCCGTCAAACTCAGAGCTAAACGCCTCTTCATTGTTCTTGTCCTCAGCGGGCCCCAGTCATGATGCCCTTCGATAAAGGTGACTCTTTGTCTGTGGGAGCCCAGGGATTCAAACTTAGCCCGAGAGCTCGTTGAAATGCAAGCAAGAGCCCGCCTGGGTTGCGAGGCTGGCTTGGGGTGGCCGGGCATGACTTGTGCATCTTGAGTTTCTAGAACGCTTGTCCTAGTGTGGTAGGAGGCAGACACTGGGGAGAAGGCCCTCTTACCTCTGGCTCCCCACAGTCGCACTCCTCCCCTTCCTCCACGTAGCCATTGCCACACTTCTGGCCCCCCAAGGACTGCTTCACTTCCGGCAGGTTGAAGAGGCACATTCCCATCCCTTTCTCCAGACTGTTCTCTAGGTCCCGCCGGCTGCAGCTGCTGAACACCATGGGAAATGGGTATCTGGGGGAAGAAAAGCCCAGAAGGTCGGTCAGTCCTCAGGCCGGGGAGTGGCCTTTCCAACCCCGTCCACGCTACCAGGCATGGACCCTCCCTCTACCTCTGCCCTGACATCTGCCTCCACCAGGAGTACGCGGCTCACCATGAGGGGCCCAGCATGCGTTTTCATAGGAAAGAAATGGCTCTCAAGCCAACAGATGGAGACAGAATCTCTGAGTCAATGTTGAGTTCTTGACCGACTGGGTCATCGGAAGGGGATGCTCCTATTTGGTAGCTTGATCGCATGGACGCATCCCAAGGTCCTCACTGGGAAGTGCAAGGGGGAAAAGGTCTACACAGGGTTGCACTGATCAGATCTGTGGTTATGGTGGCGCAGCTCAAGATTGGCCTTCAGGTCTACAGGATCAAATTACCATCTCCCCCAAGCACAGCTCCCAGCAAGCCGAGGTGGTCTCCAAACATCCTACTCTAGCCCTAACAGCGCTCCACAAAGGGTCGGGTCACCACCAGCTCTCAGCAGGGCAGCGCACGAACTCTTTATGACGATGACTTTGGGCGTCACTAGACACGACCAAACATACATCCATTCACGCCACGGCGTCTCTGAGTTTATGTCCAAGGCTTTGTTGGCTGCACACATTCCGGTGTCGCTGCTGCTGTTGTCTGGAGCTCTACTCATCACCACAACAGGTGCTCCGCCCTCCCAGCGTCTTCTCATCATGCGCTAGAGGAATTGCTGTCAGTGGGAACTCCTCTAAGCGTTCTTTGTAAAGACACAGGGTACCGGGCAAACACTGACTGAGCTAAGCTGTTGTTTCGCTGAGCGCTGGCTTCATGGAAAGGCTTACAAATTATTTCCGGTTCTGCAGCACTGGGGACTGTAGAGTACGTCTGGCTCCCGAAGCACGTGAAGATCTGCGCTAGACTTTTCTTCCTTTTCTTCACTAGGATCCGTCTACCGGGTCCTTGATCGAAACTTCCAGCAGTGGCAGCTGGGCACCATCTACTTCTTCTGGTCTCATGCTAACTCTTGACAATGGAATATGGGCAGAAGGAACAGAGGTCATCTCTGGTTGAAGGGTCCTTAAGACACGGAGGGTCCTTTCCGCCTCTAGGTCAGGTTCATCCAAGGTCCTCAGAGATGTGACTTGGGCTGGCTTGTGTTGAGGAAAGTCACTCCAGAGGGCCCCAGGGGAAGGAAACGTACTTCCATCACCCAAAGCTACTTCCTACAGCAGCTGGGCTCACCCAGCATGTACAGCACCCGCCCCCCCCACCAACCTCACCCTCAAGTGAAATTTCCCATCTCAGGCAGCAAGGATGATGAGGAAGATGCCAGAAGCCCCAGAAGGCTTTATTACTCAGCAAGGAAGCAGGGTCTGCTGTCCAGCAGGCCCGGCACCGTCCCCCCATAGGGACGCTTCCAGGATGACATTACACTTGGATCTCCATCAGTTGGTCAAACGGATGCAAGCTGCCGTTTCTTTGAAGACATCGGACTCCACCCACCACTCCATGATTAAGCTTGGCTAGGTTTCAAAACCAGGACCATTTCCCCCTGCCAAACTGATAACACTGCTCTATCTCCAAGTGCTTTCGATCAATCTCAGGTTCTTAACTCGGGAGAATAACTCTAATCTACAAAGCAATGAATGATTTGCATCTGTTGGCTGCAAAGGCAATCAGCCGTGACTTGCCTTAATGGAGCTCGGTCACACGGCCTCTCTTGGAATCTGTACAGCTCCCCTCGGCAGACAGATTGGTGCAAATATGGGCTCAGCCTCTGCGAAGCTCCTTCCCTACCACCCCCCTGCTTCTCCATCCATTCTCCCGGGCCGCCTCCACGAGGGGCCCATTACAGACACAAGCCCTCAGCTACACAT